TAATACAGTGCCATGATAACATAAATTTTTTTATAAATGATCATGGTTAAAATATGCAATATAACAATCCTCATTAAACCAACACAGCATTTAAAATAGGAGACTTGGGTCAAGAGACGAACAGAGTGCATGTGTAAATAGGTGCATCTTCAAGAGTAAACAGGAATGACAGTGCAGATGAGGCCTCTTGTATTTCAGCTGGAAGTGCATTCTACAAACCAACGTCACCAGCGCCACTGCAAAAGAAAACAACCCACCGTACAAATTGATGCAGTTTTCTACCACTGTGCATTGCTTGTGTATTGCACAAAATTCTATTTCACGCAATGCAGTAAATGGAACATTCTGCCTCAGGATGTGTGGTTGGCCATTCAAGTAGATGGCTAAACATTTAGGGAAAGTGATTTTTCCTCTGAAAAGCTAGTGACCCACAGGAAAAGCATATCCTCCAAGTGTCCCGATTTTCCAGGGACAGTCACGGAATTACAAAGTCACCTTGGCTTCTGATTTGATCCCAGAATGTCCCTATTTTCCCCACCAGTGCCACTGTTGCTGAGCTCTGGGAGACTCCACCCCACCTGTCCTATTGGTTTACTTTTGGTCAGGGTAATGACTCTGGCATTACCTGTTTTGTTTTTTGATGGCACCTAACTCAGCCAATCCCCCGAGCAATCATAGAACTGTATAGTTGGAAGGTACCCCAAGGGCCATCTAGTCCAGGCCCCTACAATGCAGGAATCTCAATTATAGCATCCATGACAGATGGCCATCCAACCTTTGCTTAAAAGCCTCCAAGGGAGGAGACTCCACAACATCCCACGGGCATCCATTCTACCGTTGAACAGCTCTTACCATCAGAAAGTTCTTCCAGATGTTTAATTGGAATCTGCTTTCTTGTAACTTGAATTCATTGGTTCGGGTCCTAGCCTCCAGAGCAGGAGAAAACAAGTTTGCTCCATCTTCCATGTGACAGCACTTTGAAGATGGCTATCATAGTATCTCTAAGTCTTCTCTTTTCTAGACAAAGCACACCCAACCCCCTCAACCATTCCTCATAAGGCTTGGTTTTGAGACCCATGATCATCTTGGCTGCCCTCCTCTGCTCACGTCCCCCACATTATATGTCCTTAGCATCTGGTATTTGGAGACAGGGAGGCTTGCAGTTCTGTGGATTTTAATAGAAACTGACCCGATCCTCACCTCCTATACTAATAGGACATAATTATCCTTGGAATTTCACACTTCTTTGAAATGTGTTGCATAGTTCTGTGCTCAAAGAAGTGTACCAAAATACTTTACAAAATCTACATTTGAAGACAAAGTTATGTTTGCAAATGTGTATTTTAAGATAAGATATGTTTAGAAATGCATATATCATGCATTGGGAACAAACAGCCAGCTGGCCAGCTGAGGCTTAGCAGGGTTCTTAACTTGGCCTGGGAGGCTGTTTTCCCCAAGCCAGGCCCACCTGTCTCATAGCTGGCATCAGAGAGCCAGTGCGGTGCAGTGGTTAGGACCTAAAAGATCCAGGTTCAAATCCCCAGCTGGCTGCGGAGTTCACTAAGTGACCTTGTGCCAGTCACTGCCTCTCAGCTTAATCGACCTCACAGGGTTGTTGTGATGATAACATGAGGAGGAAGAGAGACTATGTGTACTGCCTTGAACTCCCTGGAGGAAAGGCGAGATACAAATGAAATAAATAAAGGCTTAAGCCCAGTGTGGTAAGAACATGGCTGTTGGAAGCTTTAAAGTGTGTCACATTTTTCTCTCTCTTGGTAAGTGAGATTAACATCCAGCACCTTTCAAATTGGGTCCCAAATGGCAAGCCTGGCTGGGATGCACTGCAGCTGGGAATGCCCTTTCAGGCACTGCTGAGTGCCACTTATTTCTGCGTACATTTCCGCAAGCAATTCCTGTGCCTCTTGTGGAGGGAGGGGCCTCTCGCACATTTAATTTACGGCACCACCAAGTGGGTGTGTCTCCACGCAGCCTGCAGCCTATACATTATAGTGCCGCGTCTGATCCTTCTGGGTAATGCTTGGAAAATACTTATAACTCATTTCCTATAAGTGCCTTAATCTACTGAGTAAATATTACTCCTTTTGTGCTCTAATCCCCAAACTGGCGTATATCTCCTCTTCCTGGCGGTTTTCCTTTGTGTTGATTTATGTTTAATAGGCTGTCATTAAGCCTCTTGTGGTTCTTCCCCTCCCCCTTTTCCCTAAGTGCACTATTTATTTTGTTAGGCTAGCTTCCCCCTCCTTTAAAGTCACATTTCTATTGTGCTGAATTCAAATGCATTCACATACATCCACTAATACTGCATCACGCCCCCCCTTCATTCCTTTGGTGCTGCTGAGAGTAGATAGGCTCATGCATTTTCTTGCCCTGGCAGCTGAAGTTGCTGATCTTCTCCATACAGATGAGGTTCATTTGTTGCATCCTTTCCATACATTCTATCAGCTTGACCTAAAGTTGCCAACTAAGTGGTGGTGGTGGTGTGTGTGTGTGTGTGTGTGTGTGTGGCGAGGGGGAGAAATTCAGTTCAGTTTAAAGGTGAAGCTACCTAATTCTCACTTTCCATAAGAGTACGTGATCTGAAAAACAGCTGTCCTTAAAAATCCACACTTGTCTGAGTTTTGCAATTATTCCTCCAGCCATGTGATGTGTGCAGAAATGCACATACTAGGGTAAAGTGTACATAAGAATGCACACATTAGTAAAAAAAAAAGTGTGCAGAAAAGCATTATATTAAGGGAAATTGCTTTGCAAAATTATACGCAATTATATGAGAAATTCACACTAAGATGCATATGAATTTCTATGTAGCCTTTGGGGAAAATCTGAAGCTGATGTGGAAATGTGGAGCACTAAACCAAAGAATGGAAAACTGCCCATCTATATATTGGTCACCTATTTTGATGGTGGTGCTGGTGTCTGTCAGATGTTTTTAAGCTGAGCTAAGATTGCTGCTTCATATTTTATATATATACAGTGGTACCTCGGGTTACATACGCTTCAGGTTACATACGCTTCAGGTTACAGACTCCGCTAACCCAGAAATAGTACCTCGGGTTAAGAACTTTGCTTCAGGATGAGAACAGAAATCGCATGGTGGTGGCGCGGCAGCAGCAAGAGGCCCATTAGCTAAAGTGGTGCTTCAGGTTAAGAACAGTTTCAGGTTAAGAACAGACCTCCGGAACAAATTAAGTACATAACCAGAGGTACCACTGTGTATAGATAGAGATAGATAGATATAGATAGATAGATAGATAGATAGATAGATAGATAGATGATAGATAGAATTGTAGGGTTGGAAGGGACCCCAGGGACCATCTATTCCAACCCCCTGCAATATAGGAATCTCAGCTAAAGATCCATGAGAGATGGCCATCCAACCTCCATTTAAAAGCCTCCAATGAAGGAGAGAGTCCACCACCTTCTGAGGGAACCCTTTGCATTCTTGAACAGCTCTTCCTCATGTTTAGTTGGGGTGGGGCATTCAGGTCACCTTTCAAATAGTCACTGATAGCCATTTCTTCATCCAACATTTTCCCCACCCCCCATTATAGCCATACAAGCTAGACTTTATCCCCACATCCTATGTCTCATTTCTGAGTTGCTGCTGAAAGCAGGGGAACACTACATTAAAAAAAAAAAAAAGTTTCCTGCAGCCTTGTATGTATGTGCAGTGATGGAAACTCTTGCATTGTAAGTGATCACTTGTCAGGAGTGAAGCATTTTGACAGTTTCTGTGGGGGAGACTTTCCTGCCGACACGGCTGGCATTGTCGAAGCGCTTGTCCGTCCGTGGGTGGAAAGTGTACTCTGCTCCTGGTGGTTAGCCTCTTCCCTGCCTCCCATGACCTTGCGTTCCATTTAATCCTTGCCTCTTTCTTTCTCTCTCTCTCTCTCTTTTTTCTGATTAAGAAAAGCTGTTCCCTCAGCCTTTTTGCAGTCAGATAATGGGCAGGAGAGGTGGAACGAGTGGGATATAATCTGTGAATAATCTATCCGCTGATTGACAAACACAATGAATAATTTATTTGCTGTGTATTACTCAAATGTAGATAAAGCCAGGGAAGTAATGAAGAAAAAGGCAAAGAGACACCCTGAATAATGAGCCACTTTTATCATGGGAGGCGGAAGCCACCTGCATACTGGGGAGCCATTGAGGTGCCATGCACAACATTGGGTTTGGAATTGGGAAGTCTAGTTTAACTAGGCAGAGTCCCTGTTATTTTGTCCCTTCTGCTCTGCTTTTAACAGTAGTTCAGTAGTGGCTGGTGGTCACTGGGAGTGAAAGGGCTGGAGTCAGGGAGCCAAACAATAGGGGGAGCCAGAGTCAATGACCAGACATCTCTGCTGAGATTTACAAGGCCAAAACTGTCTTGGTTTCTCTGTAAACTAAGACTTGTGAGGAACTGTTTGGTAAGTTAGGTATGTTTAGCCTGGAATAGAGGAGGTGGAGAGGGGACATGGTAGCCATCTCCAGATATCTAAAGGGCTGTCAGTGGGAAGATGGAGCAAGTTTTCCCCCCTCGTGCTCCAGATGGTAGGACCTGGACCAATGGCTTCAAGTTGCAAGGAGGAGATTCTGACTAAACATTAGGAAGAACTTTCAGACAGAGCTGTTCGCCAGTGTAACAGCTGGTGGTGGATGTTTTAAACCTCCAATTCAGATTTTTAAAGCAGAGGTTGGTTGGATAGCCATCTGTCATGGCTACTTTAGTTGTGATTCTCTGTTGGAAGGGGTTGGACTAGATGGCCATTGAGCGTCCATTGTAACTCTACAATTCTATGAACACTGAGACTATTGAGGAGGATCCTGACACCCTACAGCTGTACCTAGAGCTTTTCCCATGAACTATGGCACTTCCATTAGACAAAGGAGCTGCCTTATACTGAATCAGACCATTGAGTCCCTCCAGCTCAGTACTATCTATACTGACAGACAGAAGCATCTCAGTGTTTCAGAAAAGTCTATCTCTGGGCCCGACTTGGAGATGCTGGGGATTGAACCTGTGATTTTATGCATGGAAGGCAAATACTCTACCACTGAGCTACTGCTCTGTCCCTAAGGAGAGAGACCCTGCTGCAGGCCTGCGCTTAGAGTCCTACCTGGGAGCTGTATATAGCCCTGTTATGTTACCAGCACCTGTGTGCATCCTGAATGAGTAATCAAGATTCAGCAGGCAACATACCAGCCTTGCCCAGGTAATAAGCATTGTTGAATGTGCCCATGTTGCATTTATTCTGTAAGGACAATCAGATCCATTGTGGAACTGATCATTAAACCTCCTAAGTTTGGAGGAAGGGCGTAAAACATTTTATTTAGTGTACTAAACATCCTTCTTCTGAAGCCAGTGGAGGGTGGGGCATTGCAGAATGAGTGAACATCATTCAGCAATACAGCAACGAGAGAGGCAGGGAGGGAACTTAGACAGAGGGAAAAAGTGGTGTGAGAATCTGGGTGTCACAATTCCTCAAGAATGTGCCAATGTTTCATGTGTGAAATATGGGAGAGTATAGACCATCTCCTGCCCCCACCCCCACTCCTTAGAGTGGCAGCTGAAAATCCTGCTGCCAAAACATTTCCAGCAAACCATTCAAGGTTTTCAGACCTTGCTGTCAAAATTGCCGGGAAGTCTTGCCCAGGAAAAGAAACAGAGAAAGAGAGAGAGCCACTTGTGATTTGACAGTCTCTGGGTACATTTTGGGCTACTTCACTGAATGTGTCAAGCAGGCAATACATGCACAATCCATAAATGTCTTATTTAGTGCAACCAGAGGTGGGGTAGAGCGGGGGGAGAATGAGCCAGGGGAACAGAGGCTGGAGAAGAAGGCAGTGCAAAAAAGAAAAAAGATGTAAATAATTGAAAGGTTTCAGCAGTCACCTCTGAGTTTGGGCATCCTCCAGGGATCTCCCCTGGCCTGCTGCTGGTGCCTTGCTGTGAAACCTAAGCAACTGTTCAATACCTGGAGTGAGAGGCTGTGTAAGGCAGGTTCAGGAAGAGGGTCAGATCGAAGAGCTGGAGAGGCAGTGCAGCGCTCTTGCTGTGCTTCCACAAATATATCGGCTTTGAAGACAGGAACCAGTACCTGCCTTGTTCCCTCCCTTATTTTAGTAGGTTCAAAGAGGACCTGGTATTCTTTGGGGGAAATCATGAGTGTTAAAATGGAATAGGTGTGTAAATATTTCCTGATTCCTCACCCTGTGTGTAGCTCAGACCCTCTAATTGTCCCTATTTTCAAGGGATAGTCCTGGATATACAGAAGGTTTATGATTTGTTCCAGAATGTCTCACTTTTCATTAGGATGCCACTCTTTCCATCAGAGAAATGTTGGAGGGTATGGAATTACCCTATCCCTGAGCCAAGGAGATAAGTAACTATACAATCATTGAAAGACACCTGAAGACAGCCCTGTAGAGGGCAGTTGTTTAATGATTAATATTTTATTATGTTTTAATATATGTTGGAAGATGGTCAGAGTGGCTGGGGCAAGCCAGTCAGATGGGTGGGGTATAACAACAACAACAACAACAACAACAACAGAATAGGATGTCCCAATTTTCACCAGAGAAATGTTGGAGGGTATGGTAGCTGTGGGTTTTTTATATATATCTGAAGCCTATTTATAAAGCCAGATAAATTTCCAAGTTGTCTTTTGCAATGATGAAGCATATGGAAAAGGAGGGGGAAGACAGAGTGAAGAAGTAAAAGAAGAAGAATACACACTGTACTGTACTTTTAAAAACCTTTAAAAGGGTTGACTTTTTTTTGTTACAAGCCATTTTAATTCTTTGTGCAAAGTTTCTTTGGGGAGAAGACTCTTCAGCTGCTTGCCTCTATTTTCAGTGATGGTTGCTTTGGGAAACTGTATACAGGCTCCTCCCTACTTACGTGGAGGTTACATTCCAGACCCCTGTGCACATACGCTAAGTGGAATTGCATAAAGTGGAGAACACCCTCTAAACACCCTTTAAATGCCCTCTCTGCCTCTCTCTCTTCAATCCATACCAAAAATTCTGTATTCCAAAATATATACAACTAGAATTGAAGCTCTGGAGCCAACAGGAGGGTGGAGGACATGCAGGGATAGTGGCTGCTGCTGCTGCTGCTGCTGCTGCTGCTGCTGTTCTACCTCACACATCAGCTGTACAGTGGGGAGACTGAGTTATGTAAACAAAGTACAGCACCTCCAGTCTCTTTGGGGTTTCCTCTGTCCTCATTGACGTCCTATTTGGGCTCTGAATAGGGTCTGCTCATGAGTCACAAGGTCTCTCCAGCTGTCTCCTGCCATTTCAGGGTATGAATCGAATTATTTAATTATTTTGCGGTGGCACGCATATACGCAGTATATACTTTGCAGGGAAATTCCCAGAGTTCTGTTATTTTTTTCCAAGTCTCCCCGTAGTGCTCTAACACCCTACATGACACCTGCACCTGCTGTGTGTGTGTGTGTGTGTGTGTGCGCGTGCGTGCGCATGGGCACATGTGTGCATAAAACTCACCTATCAGCAAAGGAGAGGCGAGAGAATTTCTACCCTTGCTGTTTCAAATAAGTCCCCCGTACACTGATAAGGTTAATTGATTTCCTTTTCCTTCATTAACAAAATCCAATTTTCACCTAATGAGAGAGAGCTTTGGTGTGACATGTTTAAATGGCAAAGTGACAAGTGCTGGGACTAGATAAAAAGGGAAAAGAAAATGTGGTGGTGGAAGGGGAAGTAGAGAAAGGCAATCCAAAATCTGCCTGACCCCCCCTTTCTGTGCTGTGTTAAGGACACAGTTCCTTTGGACAGTATAGAGCAGAGATGGGGAACCTATAGCACTCCAGATGTTCTTGGACTCCAATTCCCATCAGCTCCATGGTCAGTGGTCAGGGATGGTGAGGATTGTATCCAGCAACTTTTGGAAGCCTACACATTCCACCTCCGCTGTGGAGCAATATGGTATGAGGAGCTGGCAATGGGAGCAAGTATCACAAACCACTTTTGGTCTTCTTTGAACATTCAGAAAAACCAATGCAGAGGGCAGAACAGTGACCTCTAGAACAACCAGGGTCCAGAGAGCCATATATAGCCTCGTAGTGAACTTGGGTGAGTCCATGTCTGACAGTGAGTGGGTGTGGATTTTGAGTCAGCTATGCATTTCACCCAAATATATGCATATGCAGTGTTATGGTGATCATTTCCCCTTCCCTTAAAACTGCAATCTTGAGCTGAGAAACTACAGAGAAAGGGTGCCTAACATGTTTCCACCTGTTCTTTCCCCGCTGTAAATTGTTTCCTGCCTCATGCCACTTTCCCTTCTCCAAAGGGTACCAGACACATGTATGAAAGGGTGTCTAAATTTGGTGTCTTGTGGTGGGGGAAGTAGCCTGTGGAGAAAGAAACTTAGAGTGGAAGCTCTGTGGGGAGGGAATAGGCTATACCCTGCCCCATTGCTTCTCTGCAACTCCCCAAATCTGCTTCTATTTTCACATTAAAAAAAATTGAAAATAGGTAACTGCAATATAGAAGTTGTGTGTGTATATCTATATACAATTAGAGACTTACATATATATTGATCCAGTAAATAAGATATATAACAAAACTGTTAAAATAGTCAACACATCCTGGGCTTTGCCCCGTGCTAGCTCCCATTGAAATTGATTAGCTGATCATGCCCATTCATGTAAATTGCCCTACTCTGAGTAGGACTGTCATTGGATACAACTTTATTTAACCTTGAAAAGAAGACAGCGTCTGTTAATGAAAATAGAGGATGAGAGAATGTGATTTGATAATGTCTTGAACCTGCACATTCCAAAAACTATACAGGAAGGCCATATTTTTTTATTTATTTTAAAAATGCTTCAGAGGTTTGCAATGTACAATTTTAGTTAATAGAGCAGCTTCCTAAATTCTGTTATACCATTTAGATATGTTCAAGGTATCTGACCCCCTGCCCCCCGCCCCTGCTAAGAACACTATGCCCATCAGGGCATTGTAGGATATTGTTTGCTCCTTCAAGAACTATAAGCCAGTAATTCTGCAGGGACTGGGACACGATGACTACAGATGATCCTTATACCAGCAAATGACACACTCTGAAAGTCTCCAGCTTAGATAAAACATATGTTGCTTTGGGCCTTATTTGTATGTCTTTTGCTGAGAATCTCTCTCTCTCTCTCTCTCTCTGTGTGTGTGTGTGTGTAGGAATACATGACCCTGTAAGTAAGTGAGCGAGTCACTTCGCATCGGCATGATCAATCTCTCCACAGTCGAAGGCTATGAATGAGCTGGATGTGTTTTTCTCTGCTACTGAAGTCAATCACATTCAATTTTGCAGCATGCAGAATAGGCAGCTTCTATCAAGCTGTTGTGTAGCATGAAAATGACTTGCCAGAGTCAAATGAATATGACATTTAGGGAGAAGCATTGTGCTGGCTTTTGTTAGTTGCCCCTTTCTGCCAAAGTACTCACCCTTTGCTTGCCATAGCTCTGCCATTGATCTTGAACACCAATGGGCAGTTATGCTGTTCTTATTGTTCTTGCTGCTCCTTTCCCCCATCATTGCTGCCACCCACTTGCTTGGCAGATGGAGCCAATGAGGAAATAGACATTGGCCGCTATTCTCCCTCCGTCTCATCACTGCAGTTCTTTGCTTGCTCCTTGCTTCTGGGGCAAAGCAGGAAGCAGGTGAGGAAGCAGGTTGCCCATTGAAGAGGAGGGGTAGGTTCAGGGAGCCCTTGTGGGGTGTTGGCAGTGCCAGATTACCAAATAGGTAGAGTAGGCACTGGCCCATGGGCCCCACACCTTTTAGGGGACCCATGACTTGATCCTGAAAGAAAATTACAATCAAGCTTTCTGACTTCAATGTTTTCCCATTAGAGCACATGCCTCAAGATGCGAAGCTTTCTCTGTTTTAGTGTGTTGTGAGTTTCTGTCAACTCCAGATCATAGTAGAAGATTTGCAAGCATTAGGAGATAATTTGTGAGGCGGCGGGGGGGGGGGGAGATTTTGACTGCCTAGGGGGTTTAATCTGGTATTGGGTGTTGGCCTTTAGCCAGAGTCCATTCA